TATTATGAATTTTAAAATATATTCTGAACCCTTTGTCATATGGCTTGGAATATGAACTCTGGAGAGAAAAAAAATAGTAAGTTATAGGTTTGAGTTTCATTTAATTATGAGTAAGAAGAGGGCTCTATAAACGATAAAAGCAATAACTGTCCCCTTATACAGAGCATGAAACATGTTTCCTGTTTTTTCCTGAAATTCAGTTGTTCTTTTAAAAATGGATAAGTGTTTTTTAATTATTGAGACGAAATATCATGTCACAATATAAATACGATTTTGACCAACAACATCTAAAAACAGAGGGTCAATCACTAACCTTTTATGGAAATATATAGGAGTTAGTTACAAAGCAAATTAAGGCCCCATATACAACACTCAGGAGAGTACTGTTCATGTTGCAAAGTCTTCTGCACCCTGAGTTGTAACCTTGCAATGTAATTTACAACACACATCCTTATATTTGGTTATAGCATGGTTGCAGTGCAGTCCCCATTCAATCCCCAGGCTCGCAGCCAGCCTGTTGGCTTCCTGAAGACTAGTTGGCTCTCACATTAAAATGGCTGACTTCCAAGACATTGATGACCTGGCTTCCTCCTTTGCATGTGCACAGCCCAGTGGAAGTGACATCAGTGGCAATTTGACCACCCAGAAGTCTACCATTTTCGTTAGCATGGAAATCAGCCAACACACGGGTGCAGGGAAACCAGCCTCAATGGAATCTGGGTTGGGATTTATGGATATCAGTTGTAGTGTTACAACAGCGCTGCACTGTGTAACAATAATAATAATAATCCTTGCATTTGATACAGCGCCTTGTCACATCTTTGAGAAGTGAATTGACTGTATATTTTGTGGGCGAAACGCGGGTTTCCACTTACTGCTAGGTAAGCAGAGGTGTCTGGAGTAAGAATACTTGCCCAACATTTTTCCCTGCTGAGGATTGAACTCAGGTCTCTCGCTTGCGAGTCAAGTGCTCTAACCACTGAGCTACAGGACTGCACGTAACACATTTTAATACATTACAATCAAAATACTTATTGAAAAATGAATTTGAAAGCATGAGAGGCAACTGGATTAAAATTACCAGCATACCTTATGACATGTAATAAAGTGGTAATCAGCTTTATCTGACTGTTGGGTAACAAGATTTGACACACCTTTGAGGTTACTACATGGGATCTATTGAATGAAGATTGGTACAGTTTTTCACCACGAACAGTCACTTGTTCACATGAACGACAAGCCTGGAGCTTACAGTTCATTTGTCTGAGTTAATACCATACTTTAATCTGATTTTGGAGCAGAAGCAATATATATCAATACATTTAAAATAATCCTGGTACTCGTGACCCCAAGTGACTTTCCAGAAATGACTTTTTCATGCACATAAAACTCAGTTACTCACATGTGTAGTATCAATTAAAAGAAATGATTTTGCTATCGAAAGTGAAACTTTTTTTATCTGTTCAAGAGGATTCTCAGGGGTTCTATATGATGTTTGCACATAGATTTAGCATACAGTGAATATTTGCAAGGATAGTATTTTATCAACGCATTGAACATATTACTTGACATTTCAGGATACCTCTTCAGCAGAACAAAATTGGCCAGCTTATTTAGTTGTAAAGGTGACTGCAATAGTTCTGCACAGGATTACATTCACTGCAGAAGATTTTTCAGGTGGTATCTCTGAACAGCTTCACAATGAAATTCTGCCACCAGAGTAAATTATGGATGCCACTGTATTAAGCGAAAGTGCAGCATGAAAGGATAACTCTTTGTATTCAGACAACCTAAAACACTGTCAGATGGGCTACATGCATAAGCCAAAGGTTCCTAATTAAAATTCTGTTCAGCGTGGTACAATGTAGATTACTTTTTTGTGGAATTCTATCGTATTTTCAACAGCATAAAATAATGCATCTGTAGTGACAATGCATAATAACCAGCACCCTAAAATTGGTGGAGCACAGTTAATATAGTAGAGAGCTTGTATTATTGATCACGCCTAATAAATGAAGAGGTGCTATGAAACCCAGGTTATACGATGATAGTGCTACTCGAAATTATTCTCACAGCCTGCTGTATGAGAAATAAAAGACAAATATAATTATTATGTTCAGCTGCTTGGTGATTTTTAAACAAAATCTCTCTGTGCAATTAAAGTAACTGGAAACATAATTTAGTTCAGAATCTGCTTATTATTCAGTCCAGTTTTAATTTAATAAATAATGTAGTATAAATGCACAAAACTATTTTCTGGCTGTTCCCAATGCACTTTAAAAAAAAATCATGTTTCATTAAAAAAATTTAAGGATGTTATCATGCCTCAGTTTCTTTACAGATTAGATGCTATGTTGATGTGCAGTCTGTTGGTTTTGTGAACGTCATATTCATTCTTATAACCTTCGACATTAAAGAGAAACTATTGCGATAGCTTCTCTATTACTCATTCCCTCCCCTATAGTCTGTTAGTTTGAATTGTCTTAGATACAAAAGGCATGTTAATTTTTTAATAAAACTCATTTGTTGTTTTTACAGCTTAAGCATGCACTCTCTACGTTAAAACATCTCTCTGGTCAGAGTAAACATTGGCATTTCTTATGGGTAACAGTAGGGATGTTGACAGCAGAGTGACTTTAGTCATGACAAGTTAAGCCAGGGTCGAGTTATCAGGAATTTACTGTAAATTCAAAGCATCCCAAAGATCATTTTTTAAACTTCACCTCCCATTTTCTCCACTCATCACACCAAGTCACTCGGGGGTTTAGTTTCCTGGGTGCCAGCAGCCCTCCTGCACCTTTTCAATGCCAACCATTTTTTCAGGTTGGAACCTGGGGGGTGCCAGCAGATTATTTAACTGTGGAGCGAATGAGTCAAACAATCCACAATGTCCACACAACCACTTGGTGATGGGGGTGAGGAATGTGTGGTACAGCCACTGAGCAGTGATCAGAACCAGAAACTCTCTCTCCAGTGTTTCGCCATCTATAGGTAGAGGGTGACCAATTTGGGAGCTCCAAAATTAGCTCAACAGAGACTTAGGTGTCAAGAGCTTAAAATCTTCTTGCAATGTTTGGTTCAGTGCTGCATTCCTAGCCATTGGGGTAGTTCCCAAACATGTATATATACAGTATATATGTTTAACATTTAACCATGTTTTTGATTTAGGTGGAGAAAACAATGTTGCCATTAGGAATTTTTTTTTTAAATTTAACTCTTAAATGGTTTAATAAATTAAATGTACATTAAAGTTTTGCACTGGTTAAGAAAATGCTTCATTTGTATTCAATCAATGTAATGCTAAGTTATATTGTGAAGCAGGAATGAATCATGCATTATTCATATAAAAGAAAAATCAAAGGTATTAAAATACTGAATATATTGGTGTCTGCAAGGTGAGAGAGGAGGATCAGTTTCTCTTATTAATAAAGATTAACCTTTCAGGTACAAATTTAAAAAAACCTTTCCTGCCCTTTCAAAAGGAATGAATACATTTCAGCTGTAATTCTCGACAATTTAACGTGCCTTTTTTAGAATATTAGATGTTTACTGTGAAATTACTATGCCTTCATCATCCTCTTTTTTAAATTATAATGTATCTGCTTTAGGAATATACAGAATCCTTTTATATGTAATTGCAATATTGATCTGAATTTTTCACTTATATAAATTACCTGTTTGAACTATTTTGAAGTAAAAACCTGTGGAAATGGAGCCATTTCAGTCAGCGAGCCCCGGGGTTAAACAGGATGAATAGTTTATCAGATACACTGCAGAGAACAGCAAATTTAATATTCTGGAATTTCACCTTTTAAGAACTGCTGCAGCAGTTTGGGCACGGAAATGAAACACACACACACACACAAAAACAAGATAACTTTGCTGTGATTTATTCAGAACATTCAATGGCTTGGTAGACATTTCTAATTCCCTTTTGTGATGTTCAGTATTAACAATTTACAGGCCAGTGTGTTTCCAGATGTTGCACAATCAAAAACATAGGTCTATTTAGAAAATTGCAAAGGGGCTAATCTGGCACAGTGATGTATGAAAATCTTGCCCATTTTGATGTGTAACTTTAGCAACACATTTAATTTTAGGGAAGAGCTAAGGTGTTGTGTACATAAGAATGAATGCAAGGTAACAGTCTCTGTTCTGTATAAAATATTACCTGGTAAACAATCAGTGGTACAAACTTTCGCATTAAACAATATCAGATAAAACAGAAACTGTTGTTAAACCTGGATTTAAAAAAAAATCCCAGCCATGCTTGCACTATTACCTGAATTCAATTACAAATTCTGTAACCCTGAGTAGGAGTGAGGAGTACATGCAATATCCTATAGAGTGACTTGTCTCACCTGCACTTCTCTACATATCTGTTGCCATATACAATATTAGGCTCATTTTAAATAGGTGGTGACGTCAGATTAAAATACCAGCAAAATCCAGTATCTTGTATGTGACATGCAGTACTGCACATTTATTATTTTATAAAGATTTTGCTAAGAGTTCGGCCAATTCAATTTGATATTATAATCTGGACCGGAATTAGTTCTGAGTCAGAAATGTTGCCCAATTGTGTATTCTTTAATTTTCCTTTTAACTCTAACTGACATATTATATAGGTACAGGGTGGCAAGATGTGGTGTAGAATGTGCAATGTCATCTTATCCGTAAATCAAAGCAGAAAATTCACAAACTACTTGAAAGGCAAATCTACTTTTCAAATATGCACTTCCTGGCTGAAGAAATCAATGCAGTTTAATTCAGTTTCCATTGTTCCACGACTGAGATCCATCCATTGTCATCTGCCTGATGCCAATGCAAGCAAACATATCAAACCACACGTTTTAATGTTTTATATTTCATTGCTAATGTGTTTGTACCTCCCTCCCATTCAGCCATTTCCTTTCCATACTTTATTAGTAAACGCATGCAATCTGCTCTAAATTTGCAACTGTATACATTCTGTATACATTTTTGTTCTTCCTTGCAAGACTGCGAATGCTTCGGCCACTCGAAACGGTGCAGTTACATCGAACTGCTAACCACAGTCATTTGTGTGAGCTGTAAACACAACACTAGAGGCCATCACTGTCAGTTATGCAGGCTCGGCTACCACAGAAATGCTTCCGCAGAGCTGGACGATGAGAATGTTTGCATAGGTCAGTTCTTTTGTTATAATATTGGCTATTACTTTGTGCCTTTGCACTTTTGATTCCACCAAAAAGAAAAAGAAATACTGCTAGGACTGAGCAAAAATGTTCACATTTTCACTTCCTTTTAAAAGGAGCTTGCGAGCAAAGCTTTGTCTTTTTTAAGGGTGAGTTGTCCTGAATTAGAAACCTGACATGTGTCGAATTTATTGCACACATAGTACTCTTATATGCTGTAAATTAATCCTGACGTTGTACCAAAATAGCAATGAACACTATTTACCCAAAGTTACACAGAAGAGTGCATATTCTAGGTTAAAAGGGAATGAATTATTTTTGCTCACCCCTATCACTGGCTAGGCTGCTTTCCATCCGGCTAGACAAGTTGGGCTAGACTTATACTAGCTATAGGTTAGCTGCTTGAAATGTATCACTGCAGGACTCTAGTTGCAGCTTGCTAATGTCAAATTAAAATCTCTGGGATGCAATGATTTAAACTGCCAACTACATTGGTAGTCAGTTAATTGGAATGATGAAAATGCTGTCATATGAAGTGTATGTCCACACACCTAAAATTAGAACCAGGGTCTATATCCTTACTATTGAAATTCTCTTCCAAAGCACAAATGCTTACAAGAAGACTGCATAAAAGGTAGGGGCTGTGAAGATGAGTCATGAAACCCTCTGCCATTTGCAGATGCATTCCCAGACCCTAGAAAGTTAGGGAAAAGATGTTAGAAATGGATAGTTTCAAAGTTACCAAAATGATGCATAAATTGAATAGGCAACAATGTTCAGTCAGGTAGTTTTCAGCTGCCTATATGTTATAGAACAGATATTTTGTTAAATCCCTTTGGATCAATTGATATAGCATTATGTGGTGGGTAGAACAACGACAATACTGGAGAACTAGTTTACCCTTCCTCCATCACTATTAACCTGGTATTTTAATGTGCTTTAAAGTAAAACATCTGCTCCAGGCTTCTGTGTACAATTGAAGTCACAAGATTTTTTTTCTCTTTCTTTCTCCTGTTTAGCAATAAACGGTGGATTTGGCAAGTTATTTAATTATATTGTCTTTCTGTGGAGTCGGGCAGCTAAGTATTCATACTAGCCCCATTACTCACTTGACAATAAGTAGCAGTTGGCCTGTGACAGCTCCTGAATTTAATACTTAAACTTCTCTTTTGGGATTATCAAAATGACAGTCAGTTACTCCTGAAGAGAGGCAAGAGTTAGTTTATATGACAGACATATGTGAATCCCAAGCTTGGTTTTACCCAACTACAATTTTATGATTTATTTTTCCTTCTCTCCTATTTTATTCAGTCTTAATGCCCTGCATTTATGGGCCTTGGCCCTTCACGCAGCATTTTCCATGAATCATATAGTGAAAACAGAATCACCTGAAATCCTTTTCATTGTTTTGTTACAGCATGAAAGATCCTACATGTTTTTGCAGATGGTTAACCCGACCTGCAAATTAAACCCTACAATATGTTTTTTTTTAATGTAACCCATGCATCTGTTGTGTTAATATGATTGGCAACTATGGGAGGCAGAAAAAGTATTTGGAATTCACAAAAGAGTCCCTTGTGAAAGCTATACAATGGCTATTCTAATTGTGCATTCTTGGTTCAAAATATTACAGTACAGGAACAGGGCATTCACCTTATCAGGTATGCACTGATATTGCTCTCCACATGAGCCAATCGAATCCCATTCTGCTACAAGGCTCCCCATCCCATTTGATATCGCTCTTCAATAATCTATCCTATCTATGTTCTCTGCATTTACTATTAGCATTTGATTTTGTTAGCATCTAATAATAATATTTTCATGCATTCTTGTATTTACGAAAGTCAAATTCCTTCACACGTGAGGTATCAGTTTCATCACTTCCTCTGGAGAACGTGGAGTCAGATTTTGTTGCCATAAGAATCAGCCGTAGATTTAGCCTTAACATCTCAGTACATATTATATATATATTTTCAAAAATTCAGCTTTATGAAAGAAACAGTTATCAAACCTTTCTCCTTTTGGGATAAATACATAAAATGCAACGATGTAGGTCACATTGAAACCTATTCTCTGCTTCCATGTACATGGTTTCATTGTGATGAAAATGATGTACAGGTGCTTTTGGCCTTTCTTTCTTCTCCCTCCCCCCTGAAAAGGAGATGCCAAATATTTGTTCAGGAAAACAGCCTCGCTTTAAGTATCCAGGCATGCCTCGTAATCCTGAGGACAACTCATTCATTTTTGTCTCCAGTTCTGCTTATTTACTGCGACTGGAGGAAGACACACATCAACTTCAAGTGCTCACAGAGCTTCTTCCTTAAAAGCCCTCTAGAGAGGCGAATGGCGCCTGAGCACCATTAACAAACAACTTATTTGATGATTCTACCTATTAGGAGAAACGTTTTCTCTCCTCTTGCCATAGTTGGCAGTGGATGCTGCTTCAGCTGACTCAGTGGAAGAAGCAATTATTCATGTTCCAATTACCTTCACAAGCTGCACTACCTGCTGAGGTTCACCTCCTCTTCATTCTGCTATGATGCATAGTGTCCACTGCAGAACAACACTGCAAGAGTCATTCCATTTTATGATTTAACTAGCTAACTGCACTAACAAAGGTTAGAATACCTTTGTCGAAGAAACGCAAGGGCTGGCAGTTTAGAAAGGTGTTCTGCCTATGCTGAATAAATAGTTCAATCTAACATCTGGAAGACTATATATTTTAAATTTTAACTGCACATAAGGGCTGAAGGTCTCAATTAAAAGCTTCAACTATTCAAAGTGTTTGAGTTTTTCTCAAGGAACATCTGTCTAGCCTCTGCAGGAGACAGATGAGCATCAATATACTAACTCCACAGGTGGTGATGGTGCAGGGAAAGCAGCAGAACACAGGAAAGTGTACTAATTAGGCAAATCTGAATCTCAGAAATATCAGAGAAACCAAATCAATCCAAATCATGTAATAATCAATAAAGCTACTCTTTGCAATAATTCAATTTTAATTAAATTTTTAATTGAATGCTTTTTTAATTTAAAAGCTTGAGATGTCCTCTTGGCACGGAAGACGCTGTATAAATTTAAACTATATTATGAATTGTATTGTAATTCAGTATTTTACAATGGCAAAACTATAGAAATGAGCACCCAGGCATATATTTTAATTGGATATGAAAGTGCTGATCTTACTAGTTTGAAAACAAAGGTCACCCATGGTTTCACCCATATTAAATTGATGGTCAAATGAGCAGCTCCAAAATGGACCTTTAGAATCATTGCATCCCGTCTTCATGTTTCAGGAATTAGTTAATTCAGAGAATGTATGCTGTTTGTATTCTGACTGGCATACAAACACATTAGCATTCTGTCAGTCATGAGCCATTGTTGATTACTGTATGTTTTGTGCCATTCACCTTTGCAACAAGATGGTATCCAAGAGATCAGTTCTAACATTTGCTTTTCCCATATTGTCTGTAAGAATGTTCTTTGTGACATTCTTATTTCTGCCCACCTGCCGCACCACTAAACAGTTTAACATTACATTGAACCCGTTTTCTTTCGTATCGCAGCATACTTGAAATGGACACGGATGTGGACAAATATTGTTTCATCAAAGAATAATACAGTAATTGCACTCCATGTGTGTTCTACTGCAAATTGCATTCAGGTCTTGTGAACAGTACAGAGCCTATCACTGATACCCCATTGCTCTTCAAGAGATTGTAAAATACCAGATCTCATAAAATAGAGATTCCTAAAGAATTCTGTTAAAATGCAAGTATAGCCTCGGTGTCAGATATTGCCTGTATGTCACAATTGTACTTTTTAGTCAAAAGCAAAACATTTTAAGCACATTCCATTTTGTGATATTTCTTGTAAAAATTTGATTCTAGGAATGAAGCTTTTGTTAACATAGTGCAGAGTACATTTCCGTTTCCATTCCCTTGTGTGTGATTTGCTTACTTAAATTGACTCGCTATCTCCTCTACGAAATGTGCAGTACTATGGCATCTTGCCCAGATGAAAGAAAAGATTTTCAGCTATCAACAATCAACAATCGGGGGGAATTCAAACTTTTTACATTTGTCCATTTTTGACAACATGACATCATTTTAATAAGTAACTTTTGATGTCATTTTCTGAACGTGATTTAAATCAGTCGATAAAGTCATTTTACAGGAACCTAATTTGGTTTCCACAGATTACATTTAAATCTATTCATGGAACGCTAGTTTTTTTTTTAATTTTTCAGGTTTAACAGAGAATATTAAGTACATTGTTATACAAATATTTAATATTTATTACTGTACAAGCCGCCATACATTGTTTTAAGAAATGTTGCTTTATTCATACCTATTATCATCACTGTGGACTAAAACAGGTCGATGCAAGTCAGGCAAGTAAATGTGCAGCTGTTCATCATCCACATAAGTAATGTGGATTTCTCCTTCAGTGATTTCTTATTTGGTGGGTTATTTTCTTAGGCTCCCCCTAGGTTGCTCTTCCAAGTATTGAGTGCTGCGTTAGCATGTCCACTTTATTAACAGTCCTATTACTAGTCCTTACATAAAAGTGGAGATCTATTAATGTGCAACCCGCACCCCAGAAATCATTGGAACTGGGCAAATGTATTAACATAGACACTGCGCGTGAATGTTCCTTCATTGTCCTTTTGTAATACATTATCTCTATGAATATTCATGGTTTGCCGATAAGGAGGATTATGTACTGAAATATTAGGGGAAATGCTTGATAACATAAATCTCATAAACAATGTAGGATTGGAGGTACAGCCAAAAGAAGCCAACAGTTACACAAGAATATCAACTGGACCTGCCCACCAGGCCCAATCACCCACTTCAGTCCTAAGCAAGTTCTCAAATTTACCTCCAGTTACAAGTCCAAGACCTGTTGGCATCAACCAATTCTTGGTTACCATGGCCATAAATTCCAGTAGGTATTTTTTTATGATCTCCTGGTTTGTATAGTTTCATACTGCGTTTTAGCCCACCCTGTCTTGAAGAATGTTTGAAAATTGTTAAAACTTGGGTTAGATTTTGAAAACCTTCATTTTACACTGGTCCAAACTAGAGTCAGAGTAATTAACCTGAACTCTTTATTTTGTAGTATTAAATGTACAGCACAGAAGCCCTCGCTTTCTCACTTGAGGAATAATGCCTTATATAATACAAATGCAAAAGTTTTGAAATTGTATCAGTTAGACTGTGCAAACACCCAAATATTAAAATAAATAAGGATTCTATTTGCTATAAGAATACATTATATATATTTTTAATAAAAAGCAATAATTCAAATTCCACTTTAATTGATGTGAAAGGGCAGCCTGTAATATTTGATGTATATACCACATATTATAGTGATACAAGAAGTGATGTGTTATTCCAATCAAAACAGTTTTATCACAGCTTGTCAAACCTCCCAAGAGATTCCTCCATCTCACCTCAGTGCTGACTTACCTAATGTTATTCATACCCTGTTTCGGATGATGGGCTAATACATAGTTTCCTAAATGCTTGAAGCTTGTAATTAAGTATTGTTACTTTGGAAATGTGCAATTATAATGGGATTTTCCCATTTTAAGTGCCATATCACCAAAGTCATAACCTTTTATCTATACCTTTATCAGCCCCGTCCTTGCTTCTCACCTGGACTGGCACCAGTAAAGCTTAGCTTTTGTTTGAACTGCCCTAAATAATTTAATGTCACAATGTGACCCCCTCCACCGTCTCTTCCCCTTACTCTTTGATGACTCTTGAGGTGTCATGAATTGAATTTTAAGAATTAATTAAGCCGTCCAAGACTTTCTTCTTCCAAGTTCCAATGAGGGAGTTTAAGTGATCTGCCCCATTAGGAAAATGTTGCTGTGTGAACACCCATTTTGCTGACCTTTGTCATACTGTGAATGCATGATGCCATATTGGCACAAATCTGTCATAGTATGGCACTGCATCTTTCATCCCTGGCTTCATGTGTCAGTGATTGGGAACAAGTAACTGACAGGTAGGTGTATTTTTATATTTCTTTTAGCTAGTTATTTTATGCTGTGTGCATTTATTCTATCTGATACCGTGGCCCCGGTGACTATTCAGCGGAAGTATCATAGTTCAAAGGATTATCCTTCCAAGGCATCCATTTCACTCACAGTTGTGCTGGAGAATTGTTCAACTAAGGTGCTGCTTTACTGATGGTAAATAGTGAGTGCTTTGGGCATCTATTTCCCTTGGGCTTCTATACAGGATTCAGATTTAAATAATGTGAATTTCAATGCCTTTTTCTGAAGTCTGAATTAATCTAAACCCTTGTGAATAGTCTCTGATTCTGCTTCCATCTCACCTTTATTATATGTTTTCCACTCTCCTCTTCAATCTGTCACTTCTTCACTTCCCCCTCTTGCTCTACCCCACATCTTGCTAATTTAGTTCGACACTAATCTTTTGTTCCTTTCTCCATTCCCACTACTCTGTTTTGCTTTCTCTTTCGTCCCTTTCTCTTAATGTTACATTGGTCTTGATTCTTTTTCCTTTGCATTCTCTCCTTGTTACACAAGATTTGGACCTTTTTATTCCTGTATTCTTGTTTGCCTCACCCTTGCTTCTCTTTCTCTTAATTTTGCCATCATCATCCTTTTGTTTGCTACAACTCAGTCTCATTCATATATCCTATTCCCACATTTTCTGCATTCTATCTGAACTGGTCATATTCCTCTGTTTCTATTCCTTCTCTTTTAATTAGACCTGATCTTGTATCTCAGTTCATAGTATTTTTCCTTTTACTTAGTCTTACTTATTTCTGGTACCCCCCCTTATAACTGAACCGATGAATCCAGTCTATTCCAAATGGTACAGAGTATATCCCAGGTATACTTTAACTTTACAACAAATATACCGAAAACCAGCACTCAATAAAACTTTTCAGCAATATAAAACATATTGAGCATCGTGAAACTACAGCTTGTTGCACTCCATCCCGATCAAATTTGGATTCTCGAGATCTGAAGGTCAAAAATTGAGAAAGCACCCGTTCTTCCTTATCTCTGTATGTAACAACCTTTAAGAAAACAAAATGATTTTAATTTAACATAGTTTAATGTATCTATTTTATCACAACGACGTTCCTCCTCCCCATTCCTGCTGTTCGTCTTCATCAAGAGAATGGACTGCTTCCAATTGGAGGTGTCTGCACATCAATGTAGCTCATAACTGAGCCATCAAGAGGTTTACCCAGGGATCACAGAAACTCTGGAACAGTTATCTACTCTCTTGCCTGAAAGAGCCAGAAGAGTCTGGCAGGGCTGTACCACGTACCCTCAACCCCCACACTTCTCCTCCAACAAGGAATCATGACTACAAATGTCAAAGCAGATTGGAATTGAGATCAGGCCTCCTAGTTACAAATCCAGCCATGTCCTGTTATATTTGTCCAACAATTTTATCTTGGAATCTTTTACTAACCACACGGAGAATAAAGGTTTTAAATTATATACAAATCTAACCAAATATATTGAGAATGGAATATATCAAATCAATCTAATCGTATAATTGTTGTTTTTCTGTCTTACTAAGGATCGGATACCATCTTGTGCAAAGAGTAAAGTTGCTGGTCTCGGTTTACAAAATTCTTAGCACTATTTAATATGAACAATTAACAAAATACTGAATGAAAATTCAATTCTGGCTCATAAATGCAATGTAAAACAGGCTTTGAACTTTAAATTGCGGATTGTATTATTGAAAGCATGCTGGAAACATTTGAGACTACATGATTACATATTAATTGTTCTGGAGAGTCTAATCTATTTTATTGCAGCATAAAGAATAATAAGAAAAAAGATTATTTAATTTGTTAAACTGTGATAATTAATTGTGTTTAAAATGGACCGGCCTTAGGATGAAATGTTTTTTTTTAAATTGCTTTCCTCTTCTCTTTAATTCATCCGTGCTATAACTGTTCTAGTCTAATATGGATTTAATTTATGTGTATTACAGAGATTAACTATTGTATATAACAGAGTTTAATTAATAACTTGGTAAGATGGAACTTAGTTTAGTGAACTCTTTAAATGTCAAATAATGATGTAACACAAGCAATTTTTACAGTTGTAAAGAAACAAGAAAAGCTATTGGCAATAATTTAATGTTGCTTTTAAGCAGTGACGTTAAGCTGCATGGATGCCACTAAACTGTTTAAAAACATTTATTTTTTGTGTTTTAACATTCAATGTTGGATTAACCCAAATCAACCTCACTGCGATGTGTGTTTCTAAAACATTGATTCAATCTCAGATTGCTCTTTCAATGAGAAAATGCACCAAATTATTTAACCATAGAGCAAATTTGCACAAGATATTGCAATAAAATATTTAATTTTATCCTAAAAATGTTCTTTAAAATTCATGAAGGCAAATAAAATGGACGGTGACAAGTGCTTAATATAATTTTTAAAAGATGATGCTTTATTATTGAAACAGTGTAAATTTCAGGAGACAGGCATCCTTTACTAGATCCAGAAAAAGTTATGCATTGGGCTTTGTAGACATGTTATATTTGGAATAGCTATGCAGTGTATGTGTTGTCTTGTTTCTGCAGACTGTAAATGTAACCCCTTTGGCTCAGTCCATGATCGTTGTAATGGCACAGGAGTTTGTGATTGTAAGAAGGGAACAACAGGGGCTAAGTGTGATGAGTGCCTGCCGGGATATTATTGGCACAAGGGCTGTCGACGTAAGTAGCATTTCCAAAGCTGCACCCCAACCACTCCCCTCCCCCTTGCCCCCCACCCCCACTCCCAACCCGCAGTTTTGCTGCCACTGCTTGTGCCTGTCAGCATGTGCAGCTGTACTAACTATTCTAGCTAGGAACAAACCAGGCTTTTAGCTACCTATCCTTCCTAAGGATTATAATTACCCTGCTAAGCAATTTGTGGCATAGCTGTACACCAAGCTACTGTAGTTAGAACAACTGCAGTTATGGCTCGGACAAAGCTTTGCTTCTTTTCTTTTGGAATAGAATTCAGCTGAGTTTAGGACACTTTACTAACATTGTGATATATATTTACATTACCAGCACTGAGTCATCTCTGGATTCTTCACAATGAGATTCTTTTTGGGAGAATTAACCAGGGCCTTTCGGACCAGGCAATAATTCTAGGCACTCTTGGTGTAGACAACTTGGTGTAGTTTTCAAGCCTGCCATAGGAAGGGGATGCATGGCTGGTAACACAGCATTCTATGATAATTCAAAGTGCTAAATGTTAAAGCATTGTTAAAGATGTGCAAGTCAACATAGGCTATTTCTAAATTCATAGCGTCTTCTTTATAAACTGAAGAACACAATTTTTTTATAACTTTTGGTGAAGAAAAGCTTGTAATCACGTCATGGAGTAGTTGGGCCAAATGGCCTGCTTCCCTCTCTGCAAATGCAAAAGTCACCTCATAGGGCTATGATGCTCTCTGTGTATGAATATAAAGTTTGTGAACAGTGGTTATTCTTTTGGTGTGAGGGGGAAACGCACCAGCAAACCAGGTGTCTTTTAGTCCTAAACACACCAACAAGTATTGAATAAGGATCTAACTATACTAGAGGAACACGTGTAACACGTGTACATGATGGCTTGCATAATTATTTTGTTTCTATTTTCAATGAGATAATAATTTTAAAAAGTTAAACATCTAAAGAAACAGATTGGATGGTGGTTTTGTTTGGGAAAGTGGAATAACAATGCTAGCATGCAGTTATTGACCTTTCACCTCTAGAACTTGGGTTCAAATCCAATTCCATAGGGACCGTGGAAGGCAAGGATGCTTATGTTTGAACTTGATGTTGGATATCTGTAGAAAATGGAATGATCAGACCCCTGGGAGATGACTGGGTTTCAGATGCTCCTGGCATAAAATATAAGCAATTTCATAGCATCTTTTAAAGCCATTGTTAGCGGTTTCTTGGAGCACAAAAAGATTGTATCTCAAAATCCAAACACCCTTTGCTCTCTTATTGATTTTGGTATTTATAATTTTTTTAACTCTTTATGATTTTGCTTTCTCTATCCCACAATATTAGCGCTTGTCTCTTCCCCTCCCCCCTGCATACACACATCCACACACACACATGCAAGCCCTTCTATCTCACACAGCATTGCTATTCTTCTTCCTCTATCTCTCTCCGTCCCCCTTGCACAGTAACAGCCCTTCCATCCTCACTTCATAGTGCCAGTATGGTAGTATAATACAAACAGAAAGTTCAATATTTCTGTAAGTGTCTTCAGGATTTGTGGCACATTCAAAGGGTTCTGATTATATGATGAACTGAAAGAGGCTCACGGGTACAATGCACTTAACCAGCTTTGATATTGTGAGCCTTGCCATTTCAGTTGAAGCTCATAACTTACTATTAGTATCATTATTATTATAATTTCTCTTTCAAGCAGTAATATGTGGCTTTCTAGGTTTTATCTGCTGATTCCTACCATTATATTTTTGCAATACAGATTTCTCCTATTACAACTGTCAGGTTTGGTTCCGATTTGTGACAGGAGGCTTAAAAGGGAAATAAAATCCAAGATGTGACAGGAAGGGACAGTTTTTTATTATTGGAAAAATAGTGCATGCTGCTTTTTCCAGAATATTCTCTACCCTGTGAAATTAACACTTTGGGATGCTGCAGCAGTAATGTCAAATTGAAAGGCTTTTAAGGAAATGTATTAATGAGTTTGAGGTGTTTCATTTACTATATTACCTGAAGGAATGTTAACCATATGTTCACTATAATCCCAGATGTGCTGACTCTTTCTTGCCTTCCTTACTGTCATATTCAGTACGCTAAGTTTGTTATTAGACTGAAAACATTGATATGATTGGGGAAGAGATGAATTTGTACCATATTAGAGAATCTGTTAACATATAGAATGGAAGTTAACACAAAACTAAAGAGTGGGCAGTAAACTGCTAAGAGTGAAGACCATTCATCTATTCCATTATGTGAAAATGAGCCGGAATCTGAATATGGCCAATTTTAAAAAAGACTAAAAGCAGCTGCTGGAAAACTAGCAATACACATTAACAGATGCTGTTGCACTAATACGAACATTTTATCTCGAAGGGGAATCCTACTTTTTTAAAAAATGATGCACTTCGGAAGTTTAGTCCCAGTGCAATCCTCTGCTATGTGTTTCAATCCATGCACTGCTGTGCAGTAGATAAATACAGCTCGTAACATTGCATGTTGTCTGCACCAGGGAAATTGGTCTTGTGTTTCGGCTCACAATACATTCTGGGTTGCTATTGAGTTAAACATCATCAAACATGGAAACCGCATACGTTTCTTTTAATACTTGCGTTGATGGTCAATCCGCAATATTAACATCTAAAATATTTCTGATTGACAGTTCCTGTGTGGAAAAGGCTTTCTTGTTGATTGATATCTTGACAATGCTAATATCTTCAAACGTAACAGAATAAAACTGCGATTTTGTTTTCTCCCAGGTTGAAATCAGTATGGCGAATGCTATTGAAATTTATATTTATGAACGTGGTGTGATTTGGGTGGGAAATGCAGCTTTAATATTTGTGCTGTCATTTCTAATAAACAGTAACCAAGATAAATACATGATATCTTAAAATTGTTAATCTTCTATTTAGAACGTAATAAATGGCTGTTCACAGTGTCCACAGCTACTGTGATCAGAAAGTGAAGAACTTTGAAAGGAAGACATTTGCAGTCATTAATTTATATGGTTGTCACCTGGAGATGGAGAATGGAACAGCTTCACTAAACACCACTTTGAATTTGATTAATTTGAAAGTTGAATCATTGCCCTGTGTCCAAAAGTATGAATTAATTTTAAGCACTGGGGAATTACATTCCTTTGTATCTCAGCTGGGTAGAGAGGCATCGAATGATGTAAGACATCAGACTGAGCTCCTATACAATTCTACATTGAGAGAGAGTGAACCTGAGATTAAAAGGAGAGATGATAACAACTTATGTTGTAAGGTCACAACATAAGAATTACTGCAATGTGTATCACCTTCTGTTTGAAGTTTGCAGCATGGCACAACATTTTTAAAATTGGTGCATAAGAATGCATCATTCGAGCGAGATGTCAGCCCAGATCAGTTGACAGCAGTCTCACCTCTGAGTCAGTAGGTTGTGGGTACAAGGCTCATGTTGGGACTTTGAGCTCAAAGTCTCGGCTGACACTCCAATGTAGTGCTATCCTGGGAGCATTATATTGTCGGTGGTGCCAACCTTCAGATGAAACACTGTCTGCCTGCTCAGGTGGGCATTAAAGATCCCATGCGCCAGTTCAAAAAGAGATGGGAGTTTCTCCTAATGCCATGGCCAACACTCCTCCAGACAAAATTGCTAATCCACTTCATAGCTGTTTGTATGTTCCTACAAACTGTTCATTAAAGACGAGTTATTTTGAGCTGATATGGATAGTGTTGATGTCAAGTTGCTTTGTCCAGTCGAGTTACTGCTGGTAGTCTGAAAACACCAACTGGTCCAATCAGTAAGGACCGAATGCTATTAATATAAGTTGCTTTCTGTAACACTGCCACACCAGCTGTGCTATAAATCACATTTGGACCAGGTGATGACCTTAATCACTCTCCAAGAATGAATACAAGTTGGAAATTTAAGTCATATATTGGGTCTATGGCTTAAACTCCCACATCGGTAGTTCTGAAGCTTTTAGACCTTGTGTTGAAGTTAAGAAACTTGACATATAATTGTAAAAATTGGAGGTGCTTTCCATCAGCTGGTAGGAAACTAGACAACATTTTAAGTAAGTGTGGTCCTGGGGTTATACAGCCCAGTCGCTGGCCTATATCACACCACTTTGCACATTTTCTTTCTAGAAACAAAGGTCAGAAAATATAAGTAAAGGGAAACAAAAAGGATCAGCTGATAAACAAGTTATATTTTAATGTTGCTGTGTCAGGAGCTCTGCTGGCTTTGTTGATCACTTGTGCATTAATGGTATGGGAGGAGGTGGGATTGTTTCCAGTGAAAATAAAATTTCTTTCCAACTTCCTTCACTGCAAAAGCTAATGGCTTCATAAATATGCTTTCCATCATACAGCTTTCCAGCAGGAATTAATCAGGTGTTAGGTTAATGTAATGCTGGAGCTTACAGGATCAATAAAACCTATTCAATGTGCACAACAGTTTTATATTCAGTAGTTCACAATATGGTACCATCTTTATGCTTGTGAATTAACTTTTTTTTAATTAAATATTTGCCAGAAATAATATTGATTCCACAAGCATGTGTTATTTTGTGTTCCACGAATCCTGATGTTAAATACTTCTGCAGTATAATAATATAATCTGCTGGGTATTGTCTGGAGAAAGAATCATGCGATAACTGATCCTCTGTAGCATGCCTGATGCAGGTTTCTTTTTTTCATTGGGATTTTATTGTTGTTAGTGCAGACTGATCAATACAGTTTGATCAAGAGGATGCTTGAAGTTCTGATAGTAGCAAAACTCATAACTCATCTGGATGTTTGAAATAATGACAATATTTATTTATCTCACTGCTCCAATAATTTTTTCTTTACTAATTGAAATTTGACCTATAAATATGGAAACAGAGGGTAGGGTTGGGAATGAATAATGATTGGATCACATACGCTTGGGTTACCAAATGGACCTTGCTGCATGGCTGTGACAATTATTTAAAGATATGTTGCTGCAACGGAGGTCTCTGTTGGCAACTC